TAAGCCCGTAACATGGATGTTCACTGAACTGAGAACCCTACTATGACTCCAAGATCTTTTTCCCAGCCTGGCTTGGAGAGGGCATTTGTCTCTTCAAATTAAATGCATTCTCAAGCTCCCACCACTGTGTGGGCTGGCTTGGCTTCGAGAAGGGATTTAAAGAGACAATTCTTTCTTTCTCTTTCTCCCTTCCCTCCTTCCACTCCTCTCTCCACATTTGCTTTCTTTCCACCTCTCCCCTTCTCCCTTCCTTCCTTACTCCCCATTGTTGCTTTCTTTCCACCTCTCCCGTTCTCCCTCCCTCCCTCCTCTCCTCTCCCCCATCTATTTGCTTTTTTCCACCTTTCCCCTCCTTTCTTCCTCCTTCCCTTCCTTCCACTCCTCCCTCCCCATCTATTTACTTTCTTTCTTTCCATCCATCCATCCCTCCCTCCCTCCCTCCCCTCCCTCCTTCCTTCCTTCCTAAATAAATAAATAAATTGTAGGCTCACTCACAACTTTAATCCTAGTAGGTCTTTTGACTTACAAAGTAGAATTTTGGCTCACGAGACTCCACAACTTAAGGGGAACATTGTTCCCCAGTACAGCCTATTCCTTTCACCTGCCATGCTGGCTGCCATGTACTCTGATGAGGGAAAGTACAGTATAGCTCATAGGAACACTGTTATTCAGAGTATTACTAAACCTGTCTTTGATCCCAATACTGAGCTGTCTGCTTGCACAGAGGCCTAGTCTAGATATGCAACACAATGAAGTAGTAGAATGGGCTGTATCAGTTCAGACTCCAGGTAGTGGTGTGGGTAACATTTTTAATGCAGGCCGTGGAATGACATCAAAAGAAGACTTGGATGAGAGATGCCAGAGGAGTGCACATGGCTTTGACACAAGCACCCTGGAAGTTATTTAAAACTTCACTTTGAATTTATTTTAATCTGTGAGCAACACATATTATTACTAGGTCCACGGCCAGGAATAGATATGGCCCCAGAAGATCCCAGCCCATATTTTGAAGTAACTCATGGCAAATGATGCTCACATCAAAATGTCACCTTTTAAAAAATGTGCCGCAAGGGAAGCAGCCAAGAACTGGCTCTCCTTCCTGTTCCATGTAATTTTAAAATGATGAATAGAAGGAGCCATGTGAGAAGAATGTGCTATTTGTATTTGTAATAAGAAGTGTTCCTATCACCACTTATTTGTTCAAGAACACATTGATGAATTACTCTTTAAGAGACAGTGGGAGTAAAAGGATAATGTTTTATGTAGCACTTATAAACTAGAATATCAGTAATTGGCAACACATTCTTATCCTTCGTACCTGAAGAAGTATTCTGCTACACGATCTTACCTTTAGTATTTGTGGAGGGGGGGAAAACTTATCCTTGAAATGCCATATTTTAAACTATCAAATCTATTTATTCAAAATAGGCAAGGTTCATGAGGCCAGATGAACATCTGTAAGTAGTGGGCAGAGGGTCACAGGGATATGGTTTCTCCACTATACTTTCATATTTTTCCAAGGAAGAAGAAATAAATATAATGAGTTGGATCCAAGGGTCATTCTCTGTTGGCTGAAGCTCAGTATGTTTTTCAAAATCCTGCTACTGGATCACAGGCGATCTTCAGGAACACAGGGGGGCAGGTAGTAGTAGGGAAAACTGGTAAAAATTCCCACCTTCTGTTGGCAAAAATAACTTTTGGATTCAATCACATATCTCACCTCTTTAACCTCACTATCTAACTACTAGGTGAGCAGCCCTTCTTCACTGTTGTGGTAGTACATAACTGCAAATAGGCAGAGCATAATTCAAAATGCTGGTACTTATAAGAACATAAGAACATAAGAGACGCCAATGTTGGATCAGGCCAAAGGCCCATCCAGTCCAACACTCTGTGTCACACAGTGGCCAGAAATACCAGTGCCATCAGGAGGTCCAGCAGTGGGGCCAGGACATTAGAAGCCCTCCCACTGTTGACCCCCCCCCAAGCACCAAGAAGACAGAGCATCACTTGCCCCAGAGCCCCTAGCTATACCTTGTGGCTAATAGCCACTGATGGACCTCTGCTCCATATGCTTATCTAATTCCCTTTTGAAGCCGTCCATGCTTGTAGCCGCCACCACTTCCTGTGGCAGTGAATTCCATGTGTTAATCACTCTTTGGGTGAAGAAGTACTTCCTTTTATCCGTTCTAACCCGACCGCTCTGCAGTTTCATGGAGTGCCCACGAGTTCTTGTATTGTGAGAAAGGGAGAAAAGTACCTCTTTCTTTACCTGCTCTTTCCCATGCATAATCTTATAAACCTCGATCATGTCACCCCTCAGTCGTCTTTTCTCCAAGCTAAAGAGCCCTAAGCGCTTTAACCTTTCCTCATAGGGAAAGTGTTCCAACCCTTTTATCATTCGAGTTGCCCTTTTCTGCACTTTTTCCAAAGCTATAATATCTTTTTTAAGGTGTGGTGCCCAGAACTGCACACAGTATTCCAAATGAGGTCTTACCATTGATTTATATAGGGGCATTATTATATTGGCTGATCTGTTTTCAATACCCTTCCTAATAATCCCCAGCATAGCATTGGCCTTCTTTATTGCAGTCACACACTGTCTCGACATTTTCAGTGAGTTATCCACTACAACTCCAAGATCTCTCTCTTGATCAGTCTCTGGCAGTTCAGACCCCATCAATGTGTATTTATATTTAGGATTTTTGGCTCCAATGTGCATCCCCTTGCACTTGGCCACACTGAACCCCATTTGCCATGTTGACACCCACTTGCCCATCCTTGACAGATTCCTTTGGAGTTCCTCACAATCCTCACTACTAATGATGCTGATGGGCTCAGAGTTTGTTCTGCTGCTTCAGACCAATGCAAGAAACAACAAAGACAATTCAGTGCTGGATAAACTTCCTGGGAAGACTGTAGAATCTGCTTCCTTGGGAGGTTCTACCCCCACTCCCCAAAAAGGTTGGAGAGGTATTGATCAGAGGTGCTTTAAGCCTAGATTATTTTGAACCAGATTTTGATGTTAAAACCAGATGATCCACCAGATTCTTTTCAAGTCCATGATTTCTTTAATTCTGGTACTGATAATGCCTATACTCTGCTAAGGGCCAAAAGGTACTAGTAATCAACATTGATAAATTGCAGGATTTTCAGAACCTAGCTACAGAGCTCTACCTCTCAGCAAGATACCAGTCAGAGCCCTTTGAGCTAACTGTGAAACTAGACTCTGCAAGGTACACTATGATCACAAGGTCAGCCAAGTCCATACTGACTTGCTATAGTAATCTGCCAAGAAAAAAAAACAAGCTTCTCCCTAAATGAGAGAATTTACTGTAACAGCCAAACTGGACTGCCTGTCTTTGTTCCCATGCAGAGCTAATAAGATCCCAGGAGAATCAGTTTTGACAGGCAAAACCACATGGGGTAGGAAGGGCAAGCCCTCTTCCCCTCATACTGTAGCTCCAAGCCAAATCAGAGGCCTTGATTAGGATTGTGCATTTGGGTGTATCTGAGCTAAAATTAAACCCAGAATTAGGTTTTTCAGATTTTCTTGGGGATATATGAAATGACCCCAAATTCTGTGAGTAATGAAAATTTATCTCCCAGAATTTCAGGATTGTTTTGGTTTCAGGGAGGCAAAGAACTAGGAAGAGACAGAGAGAAGAATTTAAATGTTAAAGAGACTAGAAATCTGTGTAATAGCTGATGGTCAGGTAGATGGAGGCCAGGTCTACTGTCCTTGGCAATAACTGGACCATTATCAGGTATGGGTACTAGTGAGGCTAAGTCTACCCATATGAAATAATGGGGCACTTATTTCCAATGGCAATAGACCTGGTCTCTGTCTACCCAGTCATCAGCTGTTAGGTGGGGCTTTTAGTCCCTTTAAAATTTAAGAGATGGAGATGCTGACTAACAGCTGTCTGCTGAGGTCATCTTCCTCTCTCTCCCTCCCTGCTCCTACTGCCTTGGGGAGAGGATTGGAAAAATGGTCTCAAATTTGGGGGCCCCGGGGAAAAAATCCCAAAATGGCAATGGAGGTTCAGAAACTTCAGGATAACAAAAAGCATGCCATCCCCAAAATCTGGATCTGAAATTAACATGAAATTTTTTGAAGTGCACATCCCTAACCCTGATTAATAGCAATTTAACTTAAAAAAACAACAATGGAAAGATAGGATCATGGATCTTTCCACATCATCTGTTTTGATCTTAGTTTAAATTTAGAGCTACCGAATCCTGTTTTGTTGTTATAACTCTCAAAAAGTGTGATCGCTCTTGTCTGATAGATTTTCATATGAATGGAGCATTTAACCTCTTCACTAAAAGGCTATAGTTGCTGTATGAATCACACATTAAAACTTTTTCATGTACTGAAGTGGTGACATCCTGCTCCCAACTTGTGTCATTATATCACTGAGAGGTGACATACACTGCAATAGGAGAACATGGACTTAATGAGCTGTTGGTAAGCTCAGATGTGATAAAGGAGGAGCGCTATCTTGACAACAGCATAAGCTCCAGAAAGAACACATTTCCAGAGTCTCCTTCACAATTTCATTTTTAGCTCAATGGCAGTGAGGTGGCTGCTATGATGAGCCTATCATATCCTAATCATGCATACTATTTTGCTGTTCCCTTGAATTGCCATCTGCTATTGTCACCTGTTTTCTGGCAACTATTCCTTGGAAGAGACACTTTTTCTATCCTCTCTACCTTTTTTGGTCTTACATATTTAAAATTAATTTTTTTGGGGGGGCAAGACTGTCTCTTATAATATGAATGCCACTGGACCCTGATCCTCACTATCCCCCCCCCTTGTGTAATATTAAAATGAATGTTCAAGTCACCCCCTTTTGTATGGAAACTAAAATGGGTGAGACTGTAATATCACTGCAGTTCATATCACTGCCTGAATGCTAACAGCTAGAAATTACACAACATCTCCTGTCTCCACAGCAATTATTAAATGCACAGAATGGGGAACTGGTACATACCAATGAACTGGTGTAGGTTGGGTCCGAGGTGTCATCTTGTAGGTAGCGTGAGAGTCCGAAGTCAGACACTTTACAGACCAAGTTGCTGTTGACCAGTATATTCCTGGCTGCAAGATCTCGGTGGACATAATTCATTTCTGCAAGGTACTTCATACCAGCTGCAATCCCTCGTAGCATCCCCACTAACTGGATTACTGTGAACTGCCCATCATTTTGCTACATTTGTGAAAGTAAAGCACCAGAGTCAATATATATTCAGAGATAACAAAGAATGCAGGCTAGGAAGAAGCTGCCACCACAAACAGTCTGACACAGGAAGGGCAATCTGGACAGATAGGGATGCTGAGGAAAGATCCTAGGAGGCCATGGCTGAAAGAAAAAGTCAGAAGAGGCAACAGGCTGAGGAAGAAGGAACCAGAAGAAACCACTGGTCAAGGAGAGACCACCCTGAGATAAATGGCAGAGAACACAAGGAGATGAAGAAAGGAAGTGGCAACGTAAAGAAGGATATGTTCAAGAGCAGGAAAAACTCTGTAGTGGAGTCAGTAAGGGGACAGGAGGAGATCTAATGATACTGGAAAGAAAGCTTTCTGCTCACAATCACAGCTGCTGCAATATAGTAGAAGTTTGGAGGTTTGCCAATCTTTCAAGGTATATTTACAGTGGGTTTTGATTTCTAATCAGTGTTAGCAATTGTGAGCACAGGAGCTCAGTGTAACTGGCTTGGATCCTCTGACATCATTCCACTGGCATTTATCTCTGGCTGCTGTGGAAGCTTTCCTCCACTGCAGTGCCCATTTCCTTTGCCACTAGCACTTCTGTGAGAGCAAGATCAATGCTTCTCAAGGAGCCCTTATGCACACTGAAGTGTTACTAGTAGAAAAAGTGAGCTCTGAAGTGGAGGAAAGCCTCTGCAGTGGCTGGGAACACCAGGAGAACTATGTCATAGGACCCAGGCTGTGGTCTTGGATTCATCAACAGAAGTAAAATGGTATGGGCTTTGGCACGTAGGGCCTGATTTCCACAGGTAACACTATCACATGAGCTAGTCTCATTAGGTGATTCCTTTGCATTATATTACCTTTTTTAAAGTAACACTTACTCGCAGGAAGGAGTCCAATGCTCCATTTTCCATAAATTCTGTGATAATCATCACTGGTCGGCTTTTGGTAACCACCCCCTCCAGCCGAATGATGTTTGGATGATCGAACTGACCCATGATGCTGGCCTCACTCAAGAAATCCCGTCGCTGCTTCTCTGAGTAGCCAGCCTTTAATGTTTTTATAGCCACGTAGATTTCTCTCTTTCCAGGCAGTTTCAGGCGCCCTTTATATACTTCGCCAAACTCCCCTGTAATGGGACAGATACCAGTCACAACCAGTTTTGTCTAATCCGGCATTTTAAAGGGAAATGTCATGAACTAACCAAATTGAGTGCCTGTGATGGCAAGGTGCTTTCTAAAATATTTAAAATGATCCTGGAAGCCTATCTAACCCCCCACCCCACCCTTATGTAAGGTGAGCAGATGAAACAGAGGACAAGTCCCTGGGGCCTTCATTAGCTGCCTAGAAGAGGGTGATTTTGGCAGGTTCAGGTTTTCTTGCCTCTTTAGTGCTATGAGGTGACAAACTGTACTTACTGATTTTCCCTGGTCTGCGCAACTACAAAATATCTAGAAGTTCTGTCTTCCTTTCAGCCTACTCTGCCCATCCAAGCTGCCACACCAAAAATATTACAGGTCTTTACTGCGAGGATGCTACTCTCACAGCTCTGTTTGTCTACACACACACACACACACCTTGATAATTCATTAATCTGCTTGGTCTTCTCTTGCATTGTACTCAATCAGCAATTAATTAAACAACATTATACTTGATGGTGTAATCTGTTACACAAAAAAGGCATCATGGTAACACTGTGATCTTGTGTATAAAGAGGAAGTAAGGCCCACCGAATTCAGTGAGACTTACTTCTGGATGGGCCTGTTTTAGACCAGGAAGGCATAAAAATTTAACTCTGCCAGTTTAATGAAAGGTGACAAAAGAGAAAGAAACAGATGACAGAAAAGAGTAAGCCTGTTTTTAAAGCACAGCAAAACAGGTAGCTTGATCTTGGAGCTTTTCTTCCCAGTCCTCGTGACCTACCATCTTCTTCTACCCTCTCTCACACAGTAAGAAAGGCAAGGCTGTGGAGTGCTCAAAGGATTTGGTATGGTGGCAGAACAAGCGGAAGAGGAACAAAAGGGGCTTCCAGACAGCAGCTCCTCCAATGAGTGCTGGGCTGACACAGGAAACATCCTGAAGAATAGGCCCTTCCTACTGGAAAGGTTGAAGCAGTGATGGCACCACCTTAGTGCCACCTTGCTGATGTTTTTAGTGCATTTTGAACTTGTAGTTATCAGAATTAGGACTCTGCTTGCAGATGATAAGCATACCAATCCAGCATGCCTGATCCTTGCAAACAGCTCCATCTGGAAGCACCCTTGGAAGAAAAAGAATCAGATCTGAAGTGCTGAAGGCAAACAACAAGCAATGGATGCAAACAATGGGTTGGCTGTCACATACATGCAACTGAATAGAAGAGGGCTTGGAAGGAAATAAAAAAAGCAGAGATGGGTAAAGGAAGGGTTCAGATAAAATATACAAGGGAACAGGGCAGGGCAACAAGCAGATGTTCATCTAACACCCTCCCCTGATGCTGACTCCAGATAACATAACAATTGGTGTACAAAAGAGGTGGGCAGAAGGTAGAGTTCCCAGTCTCTCCTGGACCACCACCTAGTGTAAAGAAAGTTATACTGGGTGGACCCTGGCATTCTGTGCCAAGACACTCTTTATGTCTATATTCAGGCCAGTTCATGCCTTAGTGTTGAAGAGATCTTGGGCAGGCCCATTGGCTGTATAGATTTAACGCACATTGGCAGACAACAGGGATTCTAGCAAATCCCAGCAGATTCTAGACTGTACCATGTCTGCAGCAGACATCCAATACTGTGGAATCTTCCCCTAATTTTCCCCCCCTGTGTTTCACAAGTTTGACTCTGGAATACCTCCATATTGTTGATTGCAATCCCCCGTGTTTTGTTTCTTAGTTTGTTTTTAAATATAATCACCAAGCCCTGATCATTTTGCTCCATCTGGGGAGAGAGAAAGAACATATCTCTTTCAGTATTGCCTGCTATTAACATATATTTACTGGCAATCTGATGTTGTATGGTGACTGAACAATACCTACAAAGCTGACTCTCTTGATGGTGACTGATCTCTGTGGGCATGGATCACTGTAACCTGGTTAAGAGTACATGTGGGGCTAGTAATTGAAGTAAAATAAACATACTGAACTTGAATGCTGGGATTGTGTACAGTTGTTTTATGCAGCTTATTCGTTTGAATAGCTAGAAATTCAGAAGCAGGCTTTTTTTTCCAAGTGAAATCAGCTAACTGCTCAGAGAAAGTAAGATTCCTGCTATGGTGGATAGACAGATGCCATAAAATAGGGAACAATCGCCCTACCTATTTATTGTTAATTAAACCAGGGGGCACAACAATGTATTAAGGTGAGTCAATTAATTAATTAATTAAGAACAGACTCTTAAATCACACAAGATCTGGTTAGGCTTTCAGGAGGAAAAGTGCCAGTCCATTGTTAATTGAGCCAAATGAGCCTGAAAATTCACAGTGGAAGAGGGAGGGAAGGAAAATGGAAGGAAAAAGGAGAATGGCACTGAAAACCTTCCCAAAGGGAAATGAGTCACACCTGCTCCAATGACTTCTTCAATCTTCACGAAAGACACATCAATTTCCTTGGCAAACTCACGAACAGCTTCATTGGGATCCTCGTAGGTAAAAGGGTCAATGTAGATCTTCATTCCTGGGGAGCCTTCTCATTTGAGAGAAGAGCCAGACAAACAGAGGGAAAGAAAAAAATCATATTCATCTCTGGGAGGAGGCATCAACAGCATGTCTCCGTAAACCCTTCTCCCTTTCCTGCCTATCTTCACCATTATCTTCCTTGTAGCTTCCCTGTTCACTGTCCTTTTGATTTAGGGATGCTTCCAAATTTTCTTGATGTGCATTTCTTCCTGACAGTTTGGAATTCTGGATTATCTGATTCTGAATTTGCCATTGTTTCCAGTTGATTTATGTCTTCCTGCCCCTACATTACCATGTACTTTAATAAAGCACTGCAAAAAAGCAATCTTTATGTGACTATACATGAAGAAGAAGAAGAAGAAGAAGAAGAGATTGGATTTATACCCGGCCCTTCACTATCCAAGGGAGTCTCAGAGCAGCTTACAAACTCCTTTCCCTTCCCCTCCCCTCAACAGACACCCTGTGAGGTAGGTGGGGCTGAGAGTGCTCTGACAGAAACTGCTCTTTTTCAAGAACAGCTCTTATCGGAGTTACACTTGCCCAAGGTCATCCAGCCAGGTGCAAGTGGAGGAGTGGGGAATCAAACCCTGTTCTCCCAGATTAGAGTCTGCACACTTAACCACTACACCAAACTGGCTCTCCATACTACTAACTCCATACTACTACTCCATACTACATACTAAGATTCTCTGTGTTGCTTTTTTTGCAGTGTTTCATTAATGCACATGAGCCCACAGATAATGTGGAGGTAGAATGAACTGAAGGAAAGGAAAGCTCCAGCAACCTGCCTGTTCCAATTCCAGAATTAATTTCAGAAATTCTCCTGGTTAAAGCGGAATTCAAGAGAAGGAGAATATAGGACAGAACATATATTCCAAACTACAGTTAGAATATTCTATCCTTCAGAATAGAATAAGAGAAACTCCATACTCTTGATTCATTCTGCTCCTTATATTGTTCTCTACTTCTCCTACATTAACTTTTTCTCCTGGTGCTCTCCTTGAGATTTAGGACATATTAGTTATAACTGGCAGATTGGGAGCAGGCCACAGGTTGCACCCAGAAATGGGTGCCCAGTGTTATTTATTGAAGCAGTAGCAAATCCATTAGCAGAACAGTCAAGGAAAGAACTGCAGGTAGAGATCAATATTTATCAATCTGACACCTTTTTGTAGGTCTGATTGCACGGGTTAGACTGAGTAGCTGTGGCATAGCAGTGGAGTGCAGAGCAAAAAAAAATAAAACAAAGAGAATAGCAGCAAGCTGGGAAGAGAAATGGAGTGGAGCAGGAAGACAGAGAGGGAAGAAAGAAGGAAATCACTTCAAGGAAAGTTTTCTCAGAAATACAAAAAGAAAAAAAATCAAAAGGATTCAATCAGAGTAAAAGGAGATCATCACAGTGCCCTTCAGAAAGAGGAGGCGTACACAAATAGATGAAAGACTTAAGAGAGTGGAGAAAGCCATTTCTCAGCTGTCCGACATTCTAGGAGTCTTCCAGTTGATTCAGGTCTGAAGAGCCCTGTAGCCGCTAGTTAAATTCCTCTCACACAGCTCTCTCTATTTTGGACTGAACATTATACCACAAGAGCAAAGTTACAAACCAAAACTATTTTGCTGGTTTTATGGCAATGACAGTAGCTAATTTATGATGCTTCCTGTCCATGCATAATTTAAGAAGGGTTTTTTTATTTACTCAACACACCTTAGCTTTTCAGCTGCTACTAAAATGACAGAATGCAGTAATTACAAACAAGTGAACATCCTAATGATCAAATACGGTCTCCATCATAAATACTCCGGCTTCACTTTAGCCTTCTAAAAGTATTACAAGGACCCTTACAGCAGGCTGCCAAAGTTCTACTAGACATAGCTGGGAATTTGTATGGTGCTAGAGGGAATTTGGGAGGCTGCCTGTAGGAGTTAACTCTGGTAGAAACCTTGTTATTTCACTCATTAAATTTTAAGAGAAATCTCACACTCAGGAACTCAAATTGTATTGGTAGAAGCACTTCCTCCCATCTGGTGTGTATTAAAATCGCAGAACCCATGAATCTAACAAAGACCACTCAAATGCTATGCAATTGTGCTTTTTGGGATTAAACTCGTAAACATAAGCATGAGAAATGTTGTGGCGCCACCTGTTATAAAGGTGTCAGGGATGTTCCTGATTTGTGTCCAGGTGCTATTCAAGAGAAATGAGAGCCTCTCCTACTGCTCAAAACATGCCATATGCCTCTGGCGCCTTTTGTTGAAGGGTCATGTCCTGTTACCTTTCTTGTAGCACCCAGCAGCGTGCTTCTGTAGTTATGTTTGTAAAGTTCACAAGATTTTAGCTGTAGGCCCCATTCCTTTGAGCATGAATGGAGGGCTTGTGTTAATACCTGTGAACATACCTATTATTCACTGTTGGACACTTCTTCCATCACCTCCCCCCTTCAACCCCAGATTTGTTCCTCCTCACCTTCCTTGTGTTTGGAATATCTTTTAAATAGCAGAAGTCCTCTACTGTTTCTCCACCTCAATAGTCCCACCACCACCACAAGTGTTTATGTCACAGACCCTTTGTTTAAAAAACTCCAAAGACAGTATTAGGCAGGTCTTATTTGACCAGGAGATAAATAAATATAGAACAAAACCTCTCAGTCCCTATCTTCATATTTATTTTTGCTTCTTGTTATTTGAACTCAAATTCTGGGCCTTAATTCCAGGGCCACAGAGCAACAGATTCAAATGTCAGGGATATTACCTAGCTCAGCCAATTGATGGCTCCTTTTAAGACTTCTGTGCATGCCTGCTTGTGTCAAATATTGACATGTGCACTGGAGAGGAAAGACAATAATCTGGCACTTAAGAGTCCAATGACATTTTATAGTCCCGTTCACACTGGCCGATTTGAGCCGGGAGCGGGACAGTTCGGGGCCGGATCAAACCGGCGCGATCACACCACAACATCTGGGAAGCGTCTTGCTTCCGTGGCCGAACTGTCCCTTCCCCGCAGAAATCCGCCTCAAACCGAACCACCTACCTTAGGTGGTTCAAATGGGAGAGGCACTTCTAACCGGGCGTTTGATCGCCGGCGCGTCTTTGCGCCGGCACAACCCCGGCCCGGATCCGAACTGCGCATGCTCAGACATGCGCAGTTCGGCCGGCCCCTGGTTAGGGCCGTGTTTTCTCCCCGGCGTTTGATCGCGCCGGGGAGAAACTGCGGCGCGGCCGGGGGATCTGTGGGATCCCGCCGCGCCGTGTCAACGTTGGCGCGGCTTTTAAAAGCCGCGCCTCAAGAGGCTTTTTTCCTGTCGTGTGGCAGGGGCCTATGTTCAGCAAACAGTTTATTTCCATGCTCTTTTAATTGTGGGTTGTTGTGTTGTTGTTTTTTTTTAAATTTTTGTGCATTGGTGAACTGTGCCTCTATTCACAGTCATGTGATAGTGACTACTCACATTTAAATACACTGTAAATTACAATTCCTAATCGGGTATGAAAGCACTACCATTAGTACTACTGTTCAACATGACGCCACCAGTTCCACCCCCTGACATCACCACCAGGCTCCGCCCACTGAGGCTGACAAATGTAGTCCTCAGCAAGGAATGATGGAAGGCATGCATCACAACTAGTGCTGAAGAAACAGGTTTCCATTGTTGATATGCTGCATGTGTAATTTCAGATTTTCAATTGCTGTAATTGGAGAAGGCTCTCTAGCCCATAAGCCCGGTAAGAATTACTTACTTGCTAATCTTCAGCATATTAACTCGGAAGTAAGACAGCTAATGTCAATGGGACTTACATCCAGGTAAATGTGTTTAGGATTGCAGCTTTAATTTCTATATAATTCAGATAATTAGAAACAAACAATGCTCATTAGCTACAGAGTTAATGTAATTAACAGCTTCAGGCCATGTGATACGTGAAGATCTTGCTCCTGGAAATCCCAAGACTGGAGAGGAACGCTGAACTATCATTTTCTCTTAGGATATTTCCAGACAGAGTGGTTTTGTTCTGAGAGTCAGGAGCAGTGATTCAGCACGCCTGACACCCACAAACCACATGGGAGCTTTGCAGATCCCCGTACCAAGTGTTGCTTATCCTAATGGTGGACCAAGTCTAGCAGATCAGTGTGGGTGGCATTGTCCACAGCAGCTACTGCAGTACAATCAGCTCCACCCCACATACAATACTTGGTACCTCTTCCTTGCAGTATTCTTCTACTGCTTCTAGTTTGGCACTACAATGGTAAGTCCACAAACGGAGGAAACGTTTTCTAGATGCAGCCTTAGGCACACCCTGGACCAAAGCTCTAGTCTTTCACTGCCAGTGGTGAAGCTGCAAGGAAGCCATCTGTGCTTTGCCCAGTTCATAAATCTTTTTACGGCTTCATCACATACACTTTAACTGTTCCATAAATTCTTTTACAAGTGCAGCTGATGCTCTAGCAGGATTACAAAGGAATTTACAAGATCATAACCAGGGCTGGTTTACAGATTAGAAAAGCAAAACAAACATATAACACAGAAGGATCAAGCTGGGGGACACAATGACCTTGCACCTCATAACTGTAACCTCGGCTGGTCTAACATGGCTTCTCGATGCTCAGCAATAGAGAATACCAGGGAGCAGACAGAAAGTGTTCCCGTATTAACAAATGGCTCGTTGCTCTTTACAAACATGAGGGAATTTGCTAGACTTTAGAACCAGATGGTTTAACATATTTAGAACAGCAGGTATGAAAGAGTAAAGCTCACAGAACAGAGAGCACATCTGATCAGTGATGGCAATAATGTTTGAAGTCCACACGGAAGCTGGGGTGTGTGTAATGTGGATTTCCCCAATTCAAAAAGCCTCACTGCACTCTGAATCAGGCCCAGACTGCTTTGAATCAAGGTACAGCCCAATGACTTTTCTGTACCTCAAATGTTGCATGCTCTTGCCTCACCAGCAATGAAACAAACAAAAGATAGGTGGATTTTCCGGGCGCAATCTCACCACCACATCTGGGAAGCGTAGAGC